CCGACAATAATAACTTTAGCTGTGACCGTTAATATATTATTTTACTAGCTTTGTGACCTATTTCTCGAGTTATTTGATCGGTCGCTATTTTAGATTTCTCGATTCGGTGGTGACAGTTTTAGTATGGTCTGTATATATGTAATCTTTTTCAGTATGTTATGTATCTATCATCTTAGGATATGCATGATTTAAGTATACCAAAGGAGAATATGTCAGAAATAACAGTTTCTTTTCTATACGAATACAGCGACCTATAAAATTTGCACTAAATGATATGTAAGTAATCGAAAATCTTCGAAAGGATATCAGCAGGCAAGATCAAAAATTTGGTTCTCCCTTAGATTACAATTTTGATAGGTTAGAAAGGTAGAGTATGAGATTCTGCACGTGTTTCTACATTCTAATTTTATTAAGTGCAAATGAAATTTTTCATGATGAAATACTCTAAGAGTGTTCATCATTTCTAATTGTTTTGAATAAATACTTTCGAAATTAATTTTTTTTTCTTACACACATAATATCTGAGTTTCAATTCGACCTGTTTTTTTTCTATAAATCATGTAGTTTAAGTTCTATCCTATATTTCGATTAATTTTTCTATTGTAGATGTATTTTGTCCCAAAGAAAGATGTTCAAAAATTAATCAAATTTTATTCAGTACAAATTTTACTCTTTAAGAAAAATTTAAGCAGAAAGTTAACTCAAGTTATCATTGACACGTCTATAATAACAGAAATTTTTTCTATCAATCTACTAAATTTATCAGAATGCTAATAATGATTGATGCTATGGATATTATTAGATCTCTGAAATAAATCAGCTGTTTTTTTATCTATAACTTCGTTACTTCAAGTTGATATGCTTATCCTATATGTTTATTGGCACAGACTGTCAGCAATGTATCCAAACAGCTCCCTTGTTGTCAAAGAATAGTTCTTCAATCTCATCTTTCGTGTCTTTCTATATAAGATTTGTAATCTAAAGTGTTTTAACTTTTGAAAGACTTCGCTTGAAACTAATGTATTTTTACACCCTAAAGACCAGACCAGACGTCATTATCTGTCGAAAAATAAGTGAATGGTTATGAAACATAAACAGTGCGCATATCTATGTGCGAAAATCAATTAACTAATACTCACACCGAAAAGATGCTTTTTACATCGTGGTGGAATCGGTTACACAGTATGAACTACTAGTCTTTTTCAGACGACTTATTTTAAAGTTAACTATCAAATATATTTATTCATCTGTCCGTAACTATCCAGAGAATTGATTTCTGCACCAATTTATGCATGCGTGAAGCTTACATATAACTTGGTGCTATTCGTTTTATATATTCTTTAGGGTATCATTGCAAGTAATTAGAAAATCAAGCTAGGTAGGGACTCAGAACATTAGATTTTTCTACCTTTGAAACTTAAAAATACAATATTTCCTTTTTGAATTATAGAATTCAGGAATGCATTAGATACAATTTCTTCTGAGATGTTCGATACAAATGATTCTCTTTTAGAATCAAGAACTCTCGAGCCAGTTCAGTGTTTCTTGAGATATGCACGTTAGCAAATATAAATGTACTGAGAGATGAATCCAAGTTCAGGATCGGGTCATTCTGAACATCATTGTCTTGTTCCTTAGAATGTTCATTATTCTGAAGTCTCTGTATTGTTTATTTCAATAAAATAAATATAGATCCACCATATTTGACACAGAAATCTTTTGTATTGATTTTCTTTTGCTTCATTTGATTACTTACCAAGAATTGAGTGTTCTAAATATGATATACGTTTCCACATAAAATATCCTTCAAAGACAATTTATGTCCCGTGTTAGCAGTGTGAAAAGTTTCACAAAACCATTCTCTGTTACAATTTATTTTCATTAGTTAAAAATAATATGATTGAAATCTACTTCATCATCATATATTTATCTTGTAACATGCTCACAAAAACGCAGCTTTTATACGGGATACTACAGAAACAAGTAACGCTCGTCCGAGTGACTCGCTTGACCCTCGACTGTATTTCCGGCCCTTTGGTATTTTATAGTGCTTTACAGTTTTCAACAAGATAGTATCCAATATTTCACAAGAGTAGGTGTTTGTACGTTGGTACTAGCATCAATTGGGTTGTGCACAATGGTATGTGGGTCCGGATGATCATTTTTGCCACGAATACATCCAATCAATTTAATACCCGCACACTAATACTCAATAAAAATCTAAAGAACTCAGTTTAGTTTATTATACCCTTACCTCACTGGTGTAGGGTGAAGATCAAAAATACTAGATACAAAAAAGAAAAGAAAAACAAAAAAAAGGAAAAGAAGAGTTCATACAAAAGTGTGAATAGTTGTTCGGTTGATTTCGTGGTTGATCGTCGCAGAGTCGCAGAACCAGGTGCCGTTTTCCAAATACAACCTCCAGACCTTGTGAGCCTGGTTTGAGTTATATTCATTATGAGGTGCGAGGTAAATTGATTCAGCTTTTTCATCTTGCATCATTTCGTCAAAATTCCATTCTTTTTGCACCATTTCTTTGCATACGACTTGACATGTGCAGTAATACCTTGAGCCTTGAACACTCCCATTGAACACTTTGGATTCGAACATATATATGTACCATCGAGATTCTTGAGACCTTGCTTGGCTAGGATGTCAGTGACCTTGGGAGTAGGAGGTGCGTTTGTTGTAGCTCGTCGTTGTTGTGACTTTTGTTTGTATTGTTGTACGACTTCCAGGATATTTGAGGAAGGTACGTTTGAGTGAACATATTTGTTGATTGTATCTCGCCATTTCTCACGATTGAGTGTTTCTCGTCGCCAATTTCGAATATGGAAATTATCTACGTCTTCACTAATCTTATCTTGCCATTGTTTTCGGTTACCGAAGTTTCGTGGTTTGACCGATTGAGGAAAGTAGGCAAACATGGCTTTCTTAACCATTGATGATTCGTGGTCCTCTGTTTGCATCCTATTTGCATGTCCAAACCAACGAAGACGATTTCTACTGAGAATATTGCTTAGATGTGGTTGTCCAGTTAGCTGTAGCAGTTGCTCGGTTGGCATACGATCACCCAAATTAACTCCAATTAAAGTTCTCAGGCATCTGAGATAGAAAGTATTAAGACGTTGTTCTTGTGCTGCAGTTGTTGACCATACCTCACTGCCATACAGGAGAACCGGGAGGACGCAAGCGCGAAATATACGTAGTTTGGCTTGAATTGAAACGGTTTTTCTACACCAGATAACATGCCGTAGCATATTGAAAGCTGTTGAGGCTTTGACAAGGCGAGTTTCAAGTTCTTTCTCGATCGATTGATCTCTTGTTATGTAACATCCGAGGTAACGAAATTCGCTGACAGTTTCGATTGTTTCGTTTCGAATGGTTATTGTCAGGTTTGGATTGTCAACTTCTTAGCCTTTGATGACTTTGTTTGTTGTAAGATCTTGTTGTAGTTGCTTAAGGGACATGATGCATGTCTTTTTCACACTCATTGTAAACCCGAATTCTTGTGTCACTTGTTCGAAACATTGTATGGAGAGTTCGAGATCAGTGGCACTGTCACACGTCATGACTAGATCATCAGCATATAGCAAGAGGAGGACATCAAAATCTTCATAGTTAGCATTTGCAGGATGAAAGAAATCATTATTATCATAAGCCATTTTGATTCTGGTTATACCAAGGAGTTTCACTTGTTCAACGGCACGACGAATGATGAAGTCGAATAAGACGTTGAAGAGGATACAAGAGGGAATGCCATCTTGTTGAACGCCAGAATTGATTTCGAATGGATCGGAAAGCTCTCCATTTATCCGAACCTGCGCTTTGGTGGCTTTGTAAAGAAGTTGGAGCATTCGAACAATCTTGTCACTAAGACCGTAATGGCGACATATTTGTCATAGAAGAACACGATCGACAGAATCATAAGCCTTCATAATGTCGATGAAGCATATATGAAGAGGCTTGTTCTTGTTACGAGATTTCTCCATTATCATTTTGAGAATGAATATCTGGTCGATTGTTGAACGGTTTGATCGAAAGCCAGCTTGTTCTTCTAGTAGTTGTTTGTCTAGAAGGCCTTGTACACGATTGAGAATGATTCTAGAAAAGATTTTGCTTGTTACAACCAAAAGAGAGATTCCGCGATAATTGTCACAGATCTTTTTGTCACCTTTGTTCTTATAGAGTCGAATCAGTATTGTAGTTGTCCAGTTTTCTATCATTATTTCATTTTCCCAAATATCAACAAAGATCTCATGTAACCATTTTGCTAATGGAAGACCACCAGCCTTGATAACATCTATAGAAATTCCATTACTTCCAGGAGCTTTGCCATTTTTCATTTGCTTGATTGCACACTGCACTTGATTAAGTGTAGGGATTTGGTCTTGGCGTTCTTGCTCACTTACAGTAATTGTCGCGGAAGGAATTTGTTGAATTGTTGCTTGATCGACGATGGATGGTACACTTAAGAGATCATTGAAATAATCTTTCCAATGATTGAGTCTTTCATTTGAGTTTGTTAGGAGACATCCTTGCTTGTCGAAGATTGGAAGGTTTTCGATTTTTGCTCGTCCACCTCTCAGACGTCTAATCATTGCATATGCAGTTGCTGGATCATGTTGCTTGATGGCATTTTCAATTTCAATACTGAGTTCATCCCAATATTCGACTTGCCGTGCTTCGATTTTCTTTTTGGCCAAATTCCGAAGGAGACAATAGCTCTTGCAAAATCTTGATTCGAGACAAGTGCCACGAAAGTTTTGCCAATCTAGGAATGCTTTTGCTTTTTTGTCAACAACATCGAGGATTTCATCTGTTAACCATTCTTTGTGTTTCCTGTCATTTTCATCTCGTTGAAAGATTGAACCACTTATTTGGTGTACGTTATCCACAAAATCAGTATATTTTTGATCGATGGTTTGAGGAGAAGATGTTGGTTGTTGGAGTCGTCTGTTTAATTGTACTTGAAATGTCCTTTGAAATTGTTCATTTTTGAGTTTTTTTCGATCTACACGTAATGGTTGAATGTTGACTACTTTTCTTCGACTCTTCAGATGGAACTTGAGTTTGATTCAAAGAAGGTGATGATCAGTTCCGATTGCGCCGGCTGCTGTTCGATGAACACGAACATCTTCGACGCTTGAACGAAATTGCTTGTTGTCCAGGGTATAGTCCAACATATGCCATGTTTTACTTCCAGGATGCATCCAACTCTTTTGATGAACAGGTTTGTGTTGAAAAAAACGTGTTACAGATAATAAGATTGTTTATAGAGCAAAAATCGACAAGACGTTCGCCATTGTCATTTATGGTATCCACTGCATGAGGACCAACGACATTGCTATTTGTACGATGTTGTTCCTGACCAACACGAGCGTTGAAATCACCAATAATGAGGAGCATGTCAGATTTTGGCACTTTCTTGATTGTAGCTTGTAGATCTGCATAAAAAGGATCTGTTGTTGAACTGGCTTGCTGCTGATTTTTTGAGTTGATAGGTGCATAGAAAGCTATAACGGTAACATTTATTGGTTTGCATGCGAGACGAACCATGACAATACGTTCATTAACGGCTTCCCAAGTTGAACCGAGGGTTTTCCATGCTGTTGCTGCTTGCTTGTTAAGAAATATGGCTACTCCATGAGCTGAACGAGTCTTGTCTGCACTTGAGTGGCCGGAGTAGATTAATGTATATTCGCCGATAGCTGTTGTTCCAGAGTCGTACATTGCTGTTCCACATAAAGCTGCTACTTGAATTCGATGTTTCTTCAGTTGCTTGATAATTAGTTCCTTTTTTGCTTGATGAAAACACGATCTTACATTCCATCCACCGAAAAACGTTGTTTTAAGTGCGTTTATGCACTGTTTTTGATCTTGTTCGTTAGCCAGTTGGGTTTAATGTCCCACTAATAGGTGGCTAGCCTAGAAGTAAGACTGGATGGCTACCGGCAGCCCAGGGACGCCTCCCACACTTTGCAAGCAGAGGTAAAGAACTCAACTATGGCGGGGATACCCACATATACCCCAACAAAAAGAGGTTTTATTCAGTTTGCTGAGAGACATTAAAGCAAAAAAAAACATTTGCGATAATTTTGTGAAATCGTGCTATACTCTTTAAAACTTTTACGAAAAATCGATTCACTTACTAACTCGTGAACTAACGAAACTTTATTGGACAGGTAATTCGAATATATCAGTATACATGCAGATACTTGAATTAATGCAAAGAAAAACATATACCAAGAGAAACTCTAGTTTATTGCATCCATATCCACTGCTGATACAGCAAATATAAATTCTTCGATTGATGTTTTTCGTCTGATAAATTATTTAGTTATTCTGTCTAAACACAAAAATCGGTTCTTATCTATGACTTGACATAGGTTTTTCAGCTGTTTGCATCTGATATTGCTTAATCAGATCCATTGAACATCGGCTATTCATGCTTATTCAGTGAATCCCAATAGTTTGAATCGGTATTTCTGCAGATAACTCAGTGCAGCAGCTAGTCGCTCTCGGCGTCCCTTTCGGGCACCACTCGCGACTAGCTGCTGCCACCTTTGATCTTATTTTACCCTGACATAAATCCTCTCACTTAAACCCTATCAAATGTCAGATTGGTCTTACTTAGAAAACCATTAGATTTACAAGTTTTTCCAAAACAGCTATAACCACATTTACCACGATTCCAACAAAAATATAAAATATAAAAGTTGAATATCTCACCATCATCTCTTCCTTTCTCCTGTATTAGACGAAAATTTCAATTAGAAAATATCTCAATACCTGGCAGTATTGTCAAAAAACCTACACCTCTTTAAGTACAGACAACGAACTGATATTTTCTTCAATTCCAGATTCAAAATATCTGACTGACTAGAGTAGTCCTACACAAAGCTTTACCACTTAGAAACTCAGCAAAAAACAAGTCTCATCCATGAAAATTCAGTTATGAAATTGCTGATTAAGAGGAAACTTATCATATACGTCGAATTGACTGAATTTTCAGCCTGAAAAATCGAACTGGTTGAAAGTCATATTAAAAGCAGAAGCACGAAACACTTCGCCAACGTTTCTATGATGTTTTACCTTTCACTCTGATACTAAATAGGCAAAAATTAATTTTATTTCATATAACCTTTGCTACACTCGAGGAAACATTATTTACTCAAAAAAAATTTTCTCCTCACCCTAAAAGAACTCAATGAGAAATCTCGAAAAACTCACTTCAGAATCGAATTCTCCGACCCAGATTTACTTTCGTCAACCTTTATCGAATATGGCTATTTTCTCAGAAAATCCTTTCCTTGACCCAAGAAACTCAATTCAAAATTTCGAAAAGCTGACTTCCGATCCGAATTTCCTACTCTCGATTACCTTGTGGTCAAGTTTTATTGAAAAATTAATAATTAATAATCAATTAATAATTCGTTAATAATTAGTTGATAATTAGTTAAAACTAACTACAGATTCGAGTTCCCCACCCTCGATTACCCTTTGGTCAAGTGTTATTGAAAACATTAATTAATTATTAATAATTAATAATTAATAATTAATTAGTTAAAACTTACCTCAGATTCGAGTTCCCCACCCTCGATTACCGTTTGGTTAAGTGTTATGCAGAAGCAGATGTTGTTTTGACCCTGATGTTCCTTTGACCCTGACACAAACAAACACACAAACTCATTTTCTTTCATATGACCCTCCCTACAGTCGAGGGAACAATCTATCAACAACAAAGCAGCGCATTTCATTCTATTGTAGCCAAATGAGTTAATATTTTTTCCTAGTGATAAACAAAAACAATCAACTTTTCCTTTATCCATAGAAAATTTAATACTATCACTGAAAACTATTATCATCTAAGTAACAGAGAAAAAAAATCACTATTCTCTCGAAAGTAAACAACAGATTATAGGTTTCCACAGTCTCTATGCAAATCTCTCATCGTTTTAATTTTTCAATAAAATATTTAAATTCTCGAATTTTTGCCAACTGATTTACTTTCCTAAGAATTTCAGCGAGTCTTATCGAATGTTCTTGAGCAAAAAAAGTCTTAAAACTACTAATATCGGTGCTGGAAGTTAGTGCACTTGGATGGCTTTCTAATAATCTTCGATAGGAACAAGTAAGAGACCCACGGTTTTCAGCAATCGATAGAAGATTATACATGACACATTTTTATATAAAACTCAAGGTTTAAATAATCGGTTGCAATAGGAGTGATTGTTCAATCATTAGCAAAATAGGTTCGTTATTTGGTGAAATCTTTGCAGAACAAGCTAAAACTTTCACTATATTTAGCCCGCCTGTAGTCCAATCTTCTGGAAAATTATCATCCAGAAATCTTAATGATAAGGAATCATGTTATCAATCATGATCTAGTTTTACATAAAAGCTCTCATTCACTCAATATGTTAGGAAATGATCTCAACTTTTGACTAAATATCATAATCTAGATTTCATAACCGTGTAATTCTATCATACGTTGATTATATGATCGAGAAAGGACGGTGAAAACGTTCTTAAGTCCTGCATTTGTCTTCATACATTTGGGAAGGTTTGTTTTAAAAAACTTACTCTATGAAAATCATTTGTTAGTCAAATTTTGGCTTTTCCCGTGCATTTCTGCGACCGAATTGCAATGTTATTGTATAGAGATGAAGTCTAAATTATGATATATATTCAGTCAAAAGTTGAGATCACTTTCTAATATATTGAGTGAGTGAGAGCTTCATGTAAAACCAGATCATGATTGATACATGATTCCTTGTCATTAAGGTTTATGGATGATATTTTTTCAGAAGAAGTGAAAGTTTTAGCTTGTTC